AATAATATGCCTTTTCTTCGATTTTGATGCAAGAGCAATACGAGGTTGATCTGACACATTGTCCATGAAAGCACACCATACACCAAATAAAAGATAGAGTAAATTTAATAAATCCTAAGTTTTGAGGCATCGGTAAAGTAAAATCAAAATCTGAGGTATTACCATTTGTTTCATAAAACTCTAGGTTTTGGAGTAAAATGTTTAAAAAAAGCATTTGTTTCATGAAACTCTAGATTTTGGAGTAAAATATTTTAAAAAAGCATTTGTTTCATGATCGAAACTCTAGGTTTTGGAGAGTAATATGTTTCAAAAAACCATAGGTACAAACTTATATTGTTCCTTCGGCTAATATATTTATCCATAGTAACTGTAAAAAAAAAGGCATGAGATATTTTTCAGCACATATGCACATTACTTGTATTTTCAATAAATGTTGGTTGTCGACAGTTCGATCATTTCTATGTATATTAACCCGTTAATGTGTCATTATTAGTGGGGTATTGTATTGAATATATTTGCAATAGGGAAATGAGGATGTGAAGAAAAAAGTAAAGTAGATGAGAGCGATGTGTATTTAGTATACTATGAGAGCGATGTGTATTTAGTCTACTATGTGTATTTAGTCTCTCGCACCGACGCCCGTGAGAGAAAGAGGGGAAGAGAGAGGCGGGGGCGCCGCCGTCTCCATCATCCCCACCGCCACCACCGCCGCCCACCGACCATCCGCCCCCGCGCATCGCCGCTCGCCGCCAGCCGCGCGGCCCGCCGCTCGCCGCAGCCGCCTCCGCGTCCGCCCCCGCGCACCCGCGCCGCCCGTCCGCCCCCGCGCACCGCCGCTCGCCGCCAGCCGCGCCCGCCGCCGCCGCCTCGGCACCGAGGCCGGCGCCCTCAGCCGCTGCCCGTGAGAGAGAGAGGAAGAGTGAGAAGAGTGAGGAGAGTGAGAGAGAGAAGAGAGAGAGAAGAGCGTATGACATGTAGGCCCCACATTTTTTATATAGAATGCTGACTGGACTGCCACGCGTACGCCACGTAGACCAAAACCACCGTGGATTGGGTCGAGGGGGGTAATTCGTCCAGTTTGTATAGTTCGGGGTGAAAAATGTCCGGTTTTGTGGTTTAGGGGGGTAATTCAGATGACCGCGATAGTTCGGGGGTTAATTCGTACTTTTTCCCATATATAATGATGAAATACATGCATTTTACATAAATATGGAGTTTCTTTAAACGTTTTACCCCCAAACATAGGGTTACATGAAAAAAAATGGCAATTCACAGGGATTACAATACGGATACCCTAATTAAAACTGGGATTTTATAAAATTTACTCATAAAAGTAAAAATAAGCTTGTACATGTGCGCCCTTTTTAGTGTGGGAATGCTGCGTTTAGGCCTTGTTCGGTTTGGAGGGCATTGAAGATGATTGAAGGAGATTGAAGGGGAATAATTCTACACCATAATAGTTGTGAATAAATCTCCTCCATTCCCTCTCTCATTGGGATTAAACGAATGATGCCTTAATTGGGCACACACACCATCATACGCAGCATAGCAAACATATACACATATAGATGTTCTCGATGTAACCACGCTTACAAAGGCCTGGTTTAGTTCACCAAAAAATTTCCAAAAAACATCCCATTGAATCTTTATATACATGCATAGAGCATTAAATATAGATGTAAAAAAACTAATTGCATAGTTAGGGGGGAAATCACGAGATGAATATTTTGAGTCTAATTAGTCCATGATTAGCCATAAGTGCTACAGTAACCCACATGTACTAATGACGGATTAACTAGGCTCAAAAGATTCGTCTCGCGGTTTCTAGACGAGTTATGAATTTAGTTTTTTCATTCATGTCCGAAAACCCTTCCGACATCCGGTCAAACATCCGATGTGATACCAAAAAATTTCTTTTCGCGAACTAAACATGCCCAAATTATCAAAGGAACCAAAGATCCTCCTAGATCAGGCGTGTGTCAGACGTGCCCATGCACTAAATGACATACAACATACATGTATATATGTGTACTCTTAACTTTGAAATTATTATATATGTAAACATGAGATAGAGTGTCAAGTTTAGGACAATCTATATAAATACTATAGAGAAGGGAAGTACTGCAACTAGCTAGTGATCATAGAAAGCCGTCATGGTTGATCTCATCACATGGAGTAGCACATGCTTATACAGGTTGTAGCATCTGCGCCGAGATGTGTATCATGTGAGCTTAATTAGCTCTTGAGGCTTTGCAAAATCAAGTATATAAAACCCATTTTTTTAAGTGACAGTGCAAAAGCACCACATGCATCGATCATATACACACACCAGTTTAATTATCTTGGTCTAGGCAATGCATGTGTGAGCTTGATAAGATGTTGGGCGTATATATGTACAGATATGATATCCTGGAATTTAGAAAAACAATGGATGGGAAAAGAGAAGATAAATGGTGTTGCCGGCTAAGCGGCTAATTAAGCCACAATATGTACCTAGCCTAGAGAAGGAATGGAGAATTATCAGCAAGAACATATACATAGTGTGTCAACACAAAGGAGGGAGAAGATATATATATGTGCTGTAATGAAAATAGATGCACAACGGAGACACGAATTTTACGTAAAAACCCTTGCGGGAAAAAAACCACGGGCACCAACCGACAATGATCAGTATAGAGGAGTTGGATACAAACGCAGGGGATACATTGGGCTATCGCACCCTACTCATGCGACTTTCAAGGGATATATAAAGGAGAAATATATGAGTCCTAATGGGAAAATACTTAAGAGTCATATTAGGAAACTAATCCTAATAGTCAAGTTCTATTATGAAACTTATCCGAATATATTGCAGGCCAAAAATTCGAATCACATATTTAACATGCACACATGTGTACATATATACAGTATCTGCAGTTTAATTTGTGTATAGAGCTGTAAACATACATGTGGCGATTGTTTTTTCCCTAAAAACAGAAAAGAAAGGAACAATACATCAACATTAATAAATGCATGTAACTTTAATGTATATTCAACAAAGATTATGTAAATTATATCTCTTAAAACAATATATAGTGGCAAACAAAACAATAGCTACACAGAAGTTATGTTTGGCAAGCAACTAGAAATGTTTAGCTTGAGAAACCAACATGGTAAACCTTACATTCGAAAAATTTATTTATATGACTAATCGCCTTTCATAAAGATTCATATATCATATAACACAATATCCCTGCACACGCATGGTTCCTAATAAAGTGTAATACCCCTTGAAATATAGAATGGATTCAAATCACATGCATATATACTATGCTAGCTCTGTTCTCAAAAGGATGGCGTCCTGAAATGCTGTGTCAGTCCATCATTTCGTCTACAACTAATTATAAGCCATAATGCTCATTAGCAACAAAAAAAATTATAGTAAAACTTTTACATATGTGTTCTTGACGACTTAAAAGTCAATATTGAAAATAAACTGTGTTGAATAAACATTAAAATCAATTCTAAAATTAAGTTTTAAAATATTTAAATTTTGGTTGCAGCAAAGCTGAAGAGCAAACCATGGAGCTAACAAACACATGTATAATTGACTGGTTGCCAATTTACATTTTCCGCCTCCTAATAAGCTAGCATTTAATATTGTAGCACCCACAGATAGTCATCCGGAAAGCAGTAAACCAGAAACCAGACACATTTTGTGGGATGGTGGCAAAATGTGTATAAAACCAACGGGAAGCACATAGCTAGCACACGAATTTAGGTACCTATAACCTGCCCTCCTCATATCATGTCATATGCGAGATACCACCAAATAGAAAAATAAAATGTGTATTTACATTTCTCGCTTACTAAGCTAGCATATTATTAAGAGAAAATTGTGTGCCCCTGAGTTTTTACTCATCCCTTTCATGCCCTTTAGTTTTTGTTTTCAATCACCTTTATAGCCATTCCTTAGACTACATATAACAGTCAACTTAAAAAGCCTAAGTCTTGTGTTGAAAGCAATTTCAACTCAAAAATTAACATCGAAAGGGATAGAATTATTTGACACCCAAATTAATTTGAAAACAAAAATTCAAATTTTGAAATTAATTCTAGTTATGTTTGATGAAGTTTTCAATGATAATTTCACTTGTATCTCTTCATAGAAATTTGTTCAAATTTGTTTGAAGTTGATTTTAAATTAAAATACAAATTTTAGTTTAAGATAGAAACAGTGATGATATGTGTCATTTTCCCTTTTGTAATTTCATCAAATTTTATTGCAATTCATTTAAAAAATTTAAATTTTATTGTTCAAATTCGGGGTCACTCAACTTTCTCCCTTTAAGTTTTATAACTAAAGATTTTCTTCTAGATATATTATGTTCTTATCTATGAGTGAGAGACAATATAATCATTAGAAAAGCTCAATTGAGATGAACTAACAAAATGAGTATATACAGAAAAGCTCAAAAGAAAACTTAGGGCTATGTAAGGGATAAGACAAAACTCAAAAGCATGGAAGAGATAGAGCGAGAACTGCAAAGGAAAGACAAAGATTTTTCTCTATTTAATAATAGAGCGCACACAGTTTATCATTCGGAAAGCAGTAAACCGGAAACCAGCCACACTTTGCGGGATGGTGGCGAAACGTGTCCTAAACCAATAGGAGGGACATCACCAGCACACAAATTAAGGTATCTATAACCTGCCCTCCTCGTACCATATCATATGCGAGATACCGCCAAATAGCTTTAGATAATAGAATAGCTTAATAAAACAATGTACTTGTTGCAGAAGTCGAGGAAAATAATACTGTTGGTTCTCACATTATAGTAATGCTCTCTCTACTTAATTTATCAAGTGTGCTGTCAGGGATGACAACACCATGGCACCATCAGTCATCAGGACAGCCCACCACCTTTGCAAATAGAGAGAAAACGGTACAATGACAGGTATAAACAAAGAACGGATAGCTTGCCGATGTTACCATTTAGACTTCTGGCCAACTAAATTATACTTCACTAATTAAGCTCTAATAAGAAGCCCTGGCTGCTTAAACCAGCAGCAGCTACCTTAGACATCTATTTTGGAGCAATAGATCCGCCATACATATATTAATTATCTACTCGATCTCTCCATTAGTCTCCAGCTATACGCATCTTCCCTAGCTTGCTAAGCTAGCTAGTCTTCTCCTTCCTTTCTCCTCTTCCTCCTCCTCCTCTTCTTCTCAATCTTGCTCAGCAAATCTTGTCGGGGAGAGAGAGAGAGAGATCAGCAAGGAGAAGAGGGAATTAAGCTAGATCGAGGTAGTCGTCGATCGATCGATTGAAGATGGGGAGAGGGAAGATTGCCATCAAGAGGATCGACAACACGATGAACCGGCAGGTGACCTTCTCGAAGCGGCGCGGCGGGCTGATGAAGAAGGCCCGGGAGCTGGCCATCCTCTGCGACGCCGACGTCGGCCTCATTGTCTTCTCCTGCACCGGCCGCCTCTACGACTTCTCCAGCTCAAGGTTGGTGATTATCATCGTCGATCCCCTTCTATAGTTCTATATGTATATAGCTGCTACCTGCTAGGTCATGAAATATATCCCAATCCTTCAGATTTTTGTCTATATATCTCGATGTGTCCAGCTATCTAGCTTTTGCTTTACTCTAGCTTAGGGTTTTCTTTGATTCTTTGGATGATCTTAAGGTGAAAGACTTCTGTTTTTTTTAGAAAAAAATAAAGAAAATCGATGCATCCATTTAGATCACTCCTTCTCCCATCTAAATAATCTCTATACACTATTAATTTGATGAATTGTGTATGCATATATTGACTCTTTCTGTTTAGTCTGGAGCATTATTCCTGAAAGAGAAGGAGATGCGCAGTAGGAGCTGGTATGCAAGGGGCTGCCAGAATGTGAGAATATATTTCTAGAAATGGTGTATACGATTTTTCTAAGTTAAATAACTCACAAGTTATCTCTAGATATATATTTATTTTGATTTGTATATTAATTTACCTCGTTTCTTAGCTGAAAATTTAGGTTAATTTCCCCTAGATGCATAAAACATTTGCTATATATTGGATCGTAATGGTATAGTCTTCCTTTTTGTTAGCATGAAATCAATAATAGAGCGGTACCAGGAGGCAGGAGAGGAGCATTGTCGGTTGCTGAACCCAATGTCAGAGGCTAAGGTATGCATTCTAATATAATGGTAGCAAATTTGAGGTAAATTAAAAATTCATTTCTTGAGGTCATCTGGTTTTGCATACAGCTACAAAAGTTGTTGACTAAATTGCCGCACTTTGTCGTCATAAACTCCATTTTCCCAATTCTTAACTAAAATTCCTATATATTCCAATGTCATTATTTGCAATTATCCTGACATTTCTACTTATGTATTGGCAGTTTTGGCAGCGGGAGGTTACAACTTTGAGGCAGCAAGTGCAAAACTTACACCACAACAACAGGTAAAATCAAGTCCAATGTCAATGATATATTACACATACAACCATAGCTAATTACACACCTCTTCTCAAGTTTTTTTTTTACCCAAATCTTAGCATAACCAGATGAACTCAAGAAATGAAGTCCCCCGCCTGGGAAAATGCTTTCTCTAGTAGTGATGTTGACCTCACTTTCTCTCTAAATTAGTTTTTACTTGTCTGCAAACTATTTAAACGAAAACAGTGCATACTACTTTATTAGGATCAACCAATATGAAGGTGAAAATGAAATCTTTTTTAAGGCCCATGTGGAAATTCATGTTTCAAATAAAAGGTGAAAATACCTTTTAATGCATGATTAATTCTACGTGCTATCAATTCTAGTCACATTCTTATATGACGTACACTGATAGGCAACTTTTGGGAGAGGAAATCTCCAACTTCACAGTTAGAGATCTGCAGCTTCTCCAGAACCAAGTTGAGATGAGCCTACATTCCATAAGAAATAAAAAGGTATAATATTGATAATACCCTTTTCTCGACTAATAAATAAATAATCTTTTCCTAATTAAATGGCGATATATCTATTGTCTCTTTACTAGGATCAACTTTTGGCAGAGGAGATTCTAAAACTCAATGAAAAGGTTGTACTTGCATCTTCTTCTTCTTGATGAAATAGCTCATGATTTAATTGGTATCAGTTCTTACATCTATACACTGTTCATGATTGAGGTAAAATTACACGAATATATATCGCTCTATACTTTTAATTGTAGGGGTCTCTTGTTCAAAAGGAGAACAGTGAACTTCGCAAGAAGTTCAACATTGCTCATCAACGCAACATAGAATTACACAAGAAGGTAAAGTTTCTATTCGATCTACTCGAAACATACAAAAATGTCGTAGAATATTATTGATATATAAATATACAATTTACATCATCTTGATTAATTAATTTCAGCTTAACTCTGGAGAAAGCACGTCAAGTGAGCAAGTTACCAGAAGCTCAAAGGATCCCGGAGAATCGAGTACACCCCGTGATTCACGTGTGTGTATTGACCTTGAATTGAGTCAAAAAGAAGTTGAAGATGAATAACACATGATCAAGTGTTAAAAACAGTGAGTTTTCAAATCTTTAATTACGTAAACCGTAAAACCTCGCTCTTGTAACTAATATATATTTCTTCAATGTTTAATCAAAGTTGTCAGAGTTCCTTACCTTTTGCTAGTATCACAAAACAAGTAGCTATTTGTTTGTGATACTAGCTAGTAATTTGTGTTAAGCTAGCTAGTAACTTGTGTTAAACTAGCTATATAAATTAAGTCACAAAATACCCATAAATTAAGCTAGCTAGCCCTTCAAATTTTGTTGTTTTTCTCTGATTAGTTAATACTATGGTTTCTAGCTAGCTAGCTAGCTAGCCCTTCAAATTAAGCACTGTACAGAACTTGTTAATTTTCTACTCATCTTTACTAGTATAAATTATGCCACTAATTAAGTTCCTAGAGTTACTTTTCATGTTCAGAAGTTGCATGCATGCATGGCAAGTTACTTTAATTACTGTGCTCTTGTTTAAAGAAAAGTGTTAACTTTATTCTAAAAAAAAAGTGTTAACTTTACAGTTACACAGATATGTCCCTCATTAGAAGGTGTAATAAATCTGTTTGTTTGCAGACATGATGGCCAGTAACTTTTGCAGCATCACGCCTACTACAAGCGCAAGAAAAGCTAGCTACTACTGGAACAAGGGATCTTAATCATGTTTTGAAACTTAATTAGTAATATTTTAAAAAATCGTACTATACTAATCATGATGTGTAGCGTATTGCACCACTGAATTTATTACTGTAATTAACATGGTGAGTGTTAAAATATTTTGTGATATCCATATTATATTGCAACTCTTACGTGTCATATATGTCATGTTATATTTAAACATTATGTGCAAAGAGATCACCCTCAATAATGTTCTATGGTATGTACATATATATTCATATATGTATATAAACAAGATGATATCCACTCCACACCTCCCTCCCCCTCCCTCACGGCCGCTACAGCATGGTGTCGTAAACTGTGTGGCTGCAAAGATAGCTGTGACGAGGCCTTCCCTTCCTTCCCACATGCTCCCAGAGGCATATTTCAAGGCAATGAAGGTTGCGACTACACTGAGGTGGCCAGATGGGCAGAGCCACAGAGGTCCGTACATTTCATCAAGCAAAAGCCAGTTTCATTTAAAAAATCCGTTTGAAGAGAAGAGAGGTGAAGAAAAGCGCATTTATAAAGTGGTGTGGCAAGAACTTCGGAGGTAATTACCATTAAAGTGGAGTCGCATGAGATACCAATGCCTACTGGAGATGAAACTAAGGTGGCCAAGGCGAGAAGACCGCAGTTGGAGCCAACGCAGCTCACCACGCTGGTTTGACCGAGCCCTCCAGGAGTCGTGTCACCTCAAGGGGCCAGTCTGACTGTGCAGAGAGGTCGGTTTGACCAGGGTCATCCAGGGAGCTCGAGGGCATCATCTTCGTCGGTCAAAATTGCTAGAGGTCACTATATTGCCCCCGGAATAGAGCCAAAGCTAAGTGGATGCCCGCGGACTTGACCACTACTCAAAGAGGAGGTTGCAACATCTTCGTGCTTAAGAATTGAAGAAAAAATAGCTGAAAAGTTGAGAAACAAGATTCAATAAGTTGTGGTTGTAAAATCAAGGAGTTAGAGAGACTTGAGTTGAGAGAAAGTTAGGGTTTCGAGTTTAGTTTGAGATTTTGGTGAGGAGTGCTATTGGTGCACTTTGTAAACACTAGTTGATGCAATAAAGTCGAGAATTCTAATCTACATCTTCGAGTTTGTCATCTACCGGTGCTTCTGGGTTCTGACAGTCTAACCGCAGGTGTGCACCTGGTTTGACCAGTGGGATAGCGGCGGTCTGACCGGCGAGGTTTTGGCGGTCTGTCCGGCGGTGAACATGCGGTTCGACCGACTGTGACAGGGCTTCGTCATCTACTCCGTTCGAGGTAAATCTTTTATTTCGCAAAAGATTTTGGGTTTTTGGTTTTTCCTACCATTCACCCCCCTCTGGTAGGTTTGTTTGGTCTTGTGCGATCCTACAGTGGCCGCCTCCAAGACAATAGTAGAGGCCTAAGCCAATGGAGATTGAGAAACCGATGATAGATCAAGACGATGGTGAGGACAAAAATGGAGGTGGGTTACTGGTTATTAGCAATGATTCGCTGCCAAGACAGAACATGGATGTCAACATGGTGTTTGCATTGCCGATGGAATTTTGTGTCATGGATGAGGCTGAAATTTCTCAAGATGTGGTTTTTGAGAAGTCTAATGAGTCTAACCATCATATGAGGCCACTCATCTCAAAGGGCACATTGATTGGAAAATGATCTCTAGAATGTTGGTGGTTGGAGGTGTCGTCGTAAATTTGATGCCACACTCCTTATTCAAGAAGTTAGGGTGTGAAGTTGTGGTGAATTGAATAATACCAACATGATGCTCAACGGCTTCAATGGTGAACCAACGAAGGCGAGAACGATCTTTTTTTGTGAAGCTTACCGTGGGAAACAATATGTTGCCAACCAATTTCATCGTCGATGTGCAAGATAACTATAGCGTTATTGGATTCATACCAATTGTTGTGTTCCTTCTACCTTGCACCAGTGCTTGATTTAATGGGACAACGATGAGATTGAGATCGTTCAAGCAGATACATCGGCCGAGGTTGCAATAGTTGACGCGTCAATTGAGTGGTATGGGATTATTCAATGCTTATTAGGGTTAGATATTTCTAACTATAATTTTATTAGTGTTTCTAAAGATCGTTTTGTACCCATTATTTGGAGTGGTTGCAAAAGAGAGTGCAATAACATCAGTCTACAAAGAATGACATTGGTTTTGCATCGGCTGATCCACTATAAGAGGGAGACATACATAATGGATCTATTGCATGGAAAACATATGAAAGTTGATTACTAGGTTAAAGAATATGTTGATTTTTTTGAATGGGAATATCATGAAATGTCGGGAGTTAGCCGTGAGCTTGTTGAGCATCAGCTTCCAATAAAATTGGATTTAGACCTTATAAGCAATTGCCTCATCACTTTAATTCAAACATATATGATCGTGTCAAGGAGGAGATAGACCGATTATTGAAGGTGGAGGCCATGTAGGTATTCGGAGTGAGTGTCCAATATTGTCCCCGTTGAGAAGAAAGGGAGTGGTAAGATTAGAGTATGTGTTGATTTTAGAGATTTAAATAGAGCTACTCCTAAAGATGAATATACTAGACCTATTGCCGACATGTTGATTAATGATGCTTTGGGACATAGAGTCATTTGCTTTTTGGATGGTAATACTTGTTACAATAAAATCTTTATGGCCGAAGAGGACATGTCAAACGGCCTTTAGGTGTCCCGGTTTTGTTGGCTTGTTTAAGTGGGTTGTCATGACGTTTGGTTTGAAAAAGGCCGGTGCAACATAACAAAGTGCAATGAACTTGATCTTTTGTGATTTGCTAAGTATAATATTAGAAATTTATGTTGATGATATTGTTGTCAAATCGGATGGTATGGATGGTCATATAGCCTGTTTGCGTTTAGCTTTTGGGAGGATGCGTCGGTATGGTTTGAAGATGAATCCACTCTAGTGTGCTAATGGTATGTCATCGAGGAAGTTATTAGGCTTCGTTGTGCATGAGAGAGGTGTTGAAATTGATCCTAGGAAGATAGAAAATATTAGATAGTTTAAAGCGTCAGCATGCAAGAAAAAAGTTCAAAGATTGCTAGGTCAGGTGAATTATTTGAGGAGGTTATAATCGATACTTTTGTTCCCATATTTCGTTGGGAAAAAGAAGCCGATTTTACATGTGAAGCAAACAACAAGAGGCGTATGAGGAAATTAAAAAGTATTTATCACCTCCACCCATGGTGCTTGCGCCTAAAGTTGGAACTCTGTTTCGGCTCTACATTGCCAACTGAGGACAATGTCATTGGTGTTGTGTTAACACAAGAAGTGGATTGCAAGGAGCATATCATCACATAGGTGGGCTGTCATCTTTTGGATGCCAAAACAACGTATGTCTTTATAGCTTTGCTTATGTTTATATTATGATTGTACCAAATTACAGCATTATCTATTATCTAGTACTTGCACTTGTCAAACTGATATTATTATATACATGTTGCAAAGGCAAATTCTAAGTGGGAGAATTCACAGGCAAATACTTTGATTGAATATGATTTGGCTTATGAATCGTTCAAGTCTTTGAAAGGCTAAATCATAGTTAATTTTATAATAAATCATCTTGTGGATATTACTTATGATAGTGAGGTCTATTTACGTAGTGTTACACCATGGAAACCTTATTTTGAAGGTACTTCTTGCGAAGAGGGGTAGGGTATATGTGCAGTTTTGTTTTCACACAATAGAGCTATTTTTGAAACATCGGTTTACTTAGAGTTTTCTTGCACAAATAATCAAGTATATGATGCTTTGTTATTCGGCTTACAAGTATTGGAAGCTATAGGAGCAAAACATGTATAAGTTTTTGGTGGCTCGGAATTGATAGTGCAACAAGTTGCCGGGGTGCATAAGTGTTTTGATGGGTCATTAAATAGATATTTAGATCAATGCTTAGACACATTATCACCAATTTTTATGATTTTGTTATTAGAACATGTTGCTAGAGAAACTTTAAGGCAAATGATTTGGCTCAACAAGCATCTGGTTATCATGTTAAAAAAAAGGAGTATTCTTCATTTAGAAAAAAACGGTGCTTCAATTCAAGAGTTTGGACAAAATTGGCGATGGGCCGTCTGACAGACGCACCGGGGCCAATCTGACCAGGGAGGACCGGTGGTCTTGACCAGCCTGGCATAGCCGGTCTAACCAGAGACCTTACCTGACCTGATCGACCTATTATGGCGTAGTCTAAACCAGATTCCAACAATCAGCTAGGTGGCACGAGTTCATGAACAAGTTGGAGGCCGAATTAATTGTAAATTCGGACGTTTGTCCCTAGGAATTAGAAAATGATTGGAGTGTCCCTTTGATAGATTATTTGAAATATCCAATTTTTAGGGTTGATCGGAAAATTTGGTGTCAAGCTTTTAAGTATACTTTGTTTGATGATGAGTTATATCGCCGAAATATAGATGGGGTGTTATTGAAGTGCTTAGATAGTGATCAATGCAAGGTTGCTATGAGAGAAGTTGATGAAGGGATTTGTGGAACTCTTCAATCAGCCCACAAAATGAATTGGCTACTTAGGAGGGTTGGGTTCTATTGGCCGAAGATGTTGATGATAGTTTCAAGTACTATAGAGGGTTTGAACCTTATCAATGGTTCGACAATGTTCAATTGGCGCCCACCGCCTTGTTGAAACCAATTATCAAACCATAGTCGTTCTGAGGTTGGCGTTTGGATTTCATTGGTCAAATTTACCCTTTATAGTGAAAAGAACATCGGTTCATGCTAGTTGCAACGGATTATTTCACCAACTAAGCTGAAGTTGTACCGCTCAATAATATAACTCACACAGAGCTAGTTTTCTTTATTTTCAAGCATATTATTTATAGATTCGGTATACCTCAAATTTTCACTACGGATCAAGGAGCTTCTTTTATGTCTAAGAAAGTAAAATAACTTTGCCGAATCTTAGTATTAAATTGTTAAATTCTTCTCCTTACACTACGCTCAGGCTAATTGACAAGTCGAGTCGAGTAATAAGGTTTTCTTGAAATTAGTTAAGAAAAAGATTGGGGAACATCCAAAGAGATGGCATTAAGTGTTCTTTGAAGCATTATGGGCTAATAGAATATCTAGGTAAGGTGCTAACATGTTAACACCTTTTGAGTTAGTCTATGGACAAGAAGTTGTTTGACTTGGCTCTCTTAGATATATCAAGTAAGATGATTTATCGGTGACGGA